AGATGAAGCTTAAGAACATTGTGCTAAACAAAATAAGCCAATCCTAGAGAGACAAATGGGTTTCCCTGATGGCTCAGATGGTAAAGAATCTGCCCGCAATGTGGAAGACCAGGGTTTGATACCTGGGTTAGGACGGTCCCCTGGAGGAGGGCATGGCAAACCACTCCAGTATTCTTGCTTGGAGAATCCCCATGGACAGAGGAGCCTGGCAGGCTACAGTCCATTGGGTCACAAAGAGTCACACATGACTGAGTGATTAAGCACAGCACCGCACAGAAAGACAGCTATGGCATGATTCTATCTATATGAGTTATCTAAAGTAGTCAAATCCATAGCATCAAAGATTGGAATGGTAGTGCCAGGGGCTGGTGGGGAATGGGTGATGAAATCGCTAATTAATGAGCATAAAGTTTCCATCAAGCAAGACCATCAAGCTCTAAAGACCTGCTGTACAACGATGTGCCCCTATTCAACATATAATTCAGCATATTCAGTATATAATGTTCACTTAAAAATTTAAGAGGGTAGGTCTCAGTCTAAGTGCTTTTCCTACAATGTAATTAAATTTAAATCAACTTTTTAAAGAAAATTTCTTTAAAAATAGAGGAAGAAAATAATAACTTCACAAATCACTTCTATTGTGCCCCGCAGGAGGGCAAATGGGTGCATTGTTCCTCCCTAAATGACTGAAACTTAGAGACAAATATTCTCCCTCTTTCTAAAAATCATCCCATCACCACCATCCTCTTTCCCATGATGCTCCTTGAACATGTGAAAGTGAAAGTGGCTCAGTCGTGTCTGACTCTTTGTGACCCATAGACTATACAGTCCATGGAATTCTCCAGGCCAGATACTAGAGTGGGTAGCCTTTCCCTTCTCCAAGGGCTCTTCCCAACCCAGGGATCAAACCCAGGTCTTGTGCATTGCAGACAGATTCTTTTCCAGCTGAGCCATGAAGGAAGCCCAAGAATACTGAAGGGCTTCTCCAGGAGATCTTCCCAACCCAGGAATCGAACCAGGGTCTCCTGAATTGCAACCGGATTCTTTACCAACTGAGCTATCAGGGAAGCCCCAAGAAAATGGAAAAGTGAGTCTCTCAGCAGGAGGCTGCCGTAGCGATGCAAAGAGAAAATCCAGGACTAGAAACAGTTAGAAAGCAAAGTGGCAAATGCCTGAAATGATCTTTAAAATACTCTAGTGGCTCAAACGCAAGGATTTCTCGCACAGATCTATCCTCTGTCATCATTGCACCTATAAAAGGGAGTAAATTATATTACTGGGATTTAAAGTTATCAAGTAAATTAAAGTCAACTGCTGGGTTGCTGAATTTTATATTAGACTATTGAGTTTTATAACAATGTTGAAAGAACAGGAAAGATTCTAAAGAGAACAACTAAAACAGAAATGCAAGTCAGTGACACTCTGCCTGGAGAATTCCTGGAGCCTCCAGAACGTTCAGATTCAAAAAGCAGGGGATAATAAAAGGGCTGATCAGTCACAGGCCAGAAGCCTTCGGATCTGAATGAAGTAGAAGACTCATTCCCAGTATTCCTAAGTATCCCCTGAGAAGCTCTCAAAAGATGCAGGTTTAATAACATCTCAGTTATCTCTGCACAGGTCGTCCAGGCCCACACTCTGACCAACACCAACAGCCTTTCCTACAAAGTCTAGTGCAAGTTCTTTACTTGAAGGGATTGAACGCCCTCTCCCCTTCAGCAAGAGATTAAAAGGGAAGAAAGAGAGCTTTAATCCTGAAGTTGGGTAGACTTTCAGGATAATTAATAGAGATTGGTTACTTGCTGGAAAATGAAGGATTGGGTAAAAAATAAATTATATTTAGATGATTGAATATTTCCCTGAGATGGAATAAATTCAAGGACTGAGTAAAAGGTAACAAGAAAACTATCCATCACTTGAAGTTAGCAGGTAAGATAATATTTTAACCACTCATCTTGAAAGGGAACCTTGGACCAAGAACAGAGCAGGACGACTATAGGAATAGATACCAGGAAGGGTTAAATACAATCACACCTGAAAAAAATAGCTACAACTACTCCACAGAAACCTGAGAAGAGGTGGTGGGGTCCAAGGTGGCCTAATATTTTCATAAATAACTCGAAATATGCAGTGGGGATTATGCAAATCAAACCACACACAATACAAAAGTGGCAGGGATTTCAAATCTGTGAAGAATGAAATTTAACTACTGGGCACTGTCTTTAAATTTACCTTTATTGAATCTTGTATATTGAAGTCACATATTATTGTATCTCTTTATGGAAACTCAATAGGGCTGAATGCAGAGTGATTTATGGAAGAAGGAATAATCAAATGCATAAGTAGAAAAGAGCACACACCTGGAGAGGCACTAGCCTGGGGGTCAAGACAGGCACCGAGTGGGAAGTGGTTGAGATGGTACAGAGTGCAATAGGGTGGCCAATTACTTCTGCTCTCTACAGATGCGGGTGGTGCTAAGAGCTGATGTGTAAAATAAACAAGGAAATGTGTCTGTTACTCTTTGAACCACTTGGCCTTGGTACTACTTTCAATGAGAGTGCTGAGTTTAAATTAAACCTGGAAGGGGATTCAGAGCAGGCCAGCACAGAAATTATGCGATGTGTTCCTAGGTAAACCAAGAATACCAGGAGATGTTAAGAGGGCCTCCAGCACAGATGAAATGCTGAATGTGCCTATTGGTTGGGAAAAGATGCACAAAGCTAAGCGGGCCTGTAGGAAAGAAAAATTTCAGCTCCTATTAAGGGAAAAAAACAATCATTCAAAGCACAGTTGGAATCATGGAAGAAAGGGCAGCTTATGGTAACACCATCCCTGGGGACATTCGAGGAGTTGACCAGACACCTCTCTACTTAGGATGCATTAGAGATTATTAAAAGCATTCCCTGCTCAGATCGGGGGTGGGAGGTGGGCCTTGCGACCTCTCCAAAGGTCATTCCTATCCCAAAGGATCACATGTCTGAAGGGCACCAGATAAAAATAAAGTCTATTAATCACTGAGCTGCCGCACAGTTTCCTAAGAGAGCCAGACTAGAGAAGGGCATTCCACGGTGGACCTTGTTCCAACGAGGGAGGAAAAGAGAGGCCTGTGTAGGCAGAACCAACTGCAGAGACTTCCAGAAAGCCTGCAATCAGGCGTCCCAAGCGTCACAGGGAACACAGGAGGAGGAAGAGACCCCATGGGGAAGGGAAGAGGAAACAGCAAATGGCTCTGAGAGCCCCTAAACAAAGCCACGGGAGCTGGGGGAGAGGGTGTGAGCCAGGCCAGGTGGGGACACCCGCAAAGGGCACGTCCTGGATTTAACGCTAAGGAGGCAGACCTCGGAGACAAAGGAGTGAAGGCAGAAACCCAGGGGAGGATGGATAGGGGTGCACGGGTGTGTCTGGGATTATTATGGGCTGGGAACCCGATGAGAGCTGGAGAGACAGAGCAAAAGGTAATCCCACTGTCTGGGGCGGAGGGGCAGAAAATCACCTAAGAAAATGCAGGCTTTTAAAAGAGGAATGGAGCCGCAATGCCCCAGTTCCTAAGCAGCTCTTGGCATTCTTGATAGCTGGGCTGCTCCGGCCAGACACAGCGGGAAAGCCTGCGGCCCAGGCATCTGAAGCACCCTTCCCAACCCTGAACCAGTCTCCCGAGGGGCTAGCAAGCTTGGGCTTTTATGCGTCAGAACAAAACTGAACGCTTTCCAGGAAGCAAAACCCAGGAGGAAGCAGGCACCTCCCAGCACTGCCAAGAGATATCAGACCCCATGCCTTGCTCCCTATTCATCCTGAACCCACACCTGGGGATGGAGATGATGTTACCTGCAGGACTCGTCTCAGGACTGTCATCTGCATGGTGTACTAAACAGTCAAATGGGGGTCATGGAGTTTGAGTTCTTTTAGCAAAATGTTCTCCAACCAGCTGTCACCCCACCAGGCACAGAACACCTTGTGGAAATCAAAAGAGGCCAGCGAAGAGGGAGGAAACACGCAGCACTCCCAATGCACTGCCTGTGCCCTCGCCCCATCTCCCTTGGGGGTGTCCTGCTTTCATAGCGACCGCAGACACTGGCAGGGCAGGTGGGGCACCCGAGGGACCACCGTACCCAGCCCAGCCTCACTGGTCCCACCACAACCTGTGGCAGAGTGCTGCGTCCTCAGAGAGAAGGCAGGAAGGGAAGATGGTCAGGGAGTGCGGTTTCGAGGGCCGCCCCTGCCATGGAGGGAGCAGATGGTGCCCGATCTGGTGAGGAGATAACTAGGGCAAGGATCTAAACCCACCGCCCAGTGCTCTGGTGGGTGAGAAAGACAAAGCTCTCTCAGGCTGACGGCAGTCCCTCCGAAAGCTGCAGGTCTCCCAGGTCCACCTGCTGCCACTGTTCCCGCAGCTCGCCCCCCCACAGTCCCTCCCCAGCTCTGTCTGCAGACCCTAAACCCCAGAGCCGGGGAGTCACTTGTCCAAAGATGCTCCTGAAGCCAGTGAGAAAGGCTGGAGATGGATCACAGGACATTTATTAAACTAAGTCATCGTCAGAGAAAGATTCATAACCTGCCTTACCTAGGACAGGAGAGAGAGAAAGAAAGGAGAGAGAGGAAATTAAAGAGAAACAAATGAAAAGCCGCTGGAGCCAAGCACCTCTGTTGGAGGATTTTGAGTTATGTTTTTGTTTGTAATTCTCTGAAACAGAAAAAGAAATAGAGGATGAACCTTACAGAGACAGAGAGAGTGAAAGAGAGGGAGCCAGAAGAAAGCCACAAAGGAGGCCACTGCAGGGAAAGGAATACAGAGCAAGGAGGCCTCCCAGGCTGGCTTCTCCCTCCTGCTGCAACACCAGGCCTGGGGGAGCTGCCAGAGGAGGTCAGGTGTGACTGCAGTGAGGTGGCAGCCAGCAGGCAAACTGAGGTCTGGGCCCAAGAGGAGGAGCCAGCAAGCCCGGGGCTGGAGCAGCTCAAGGAAGGGTGGGGGCCCGCGGCAGGAAGGTGGCATCTGCTGTACTTACTGTCACAGACGTAAGGTTTGTCATGGTCTTCCTGCGAGGCGGCGTCGTGCCTCCTCCTGCCACCTGTGGAGCCACGGGCCTGGGGAGACATGGGAATATTGGGGTGCTTGTTATGCTGACAATCACTATGGTTCCCCAGAGTGTGTTCTGTAAGGCCCTGAGTGCTTCACCTGGATCTCCTTATTCAACCTTATACTTCACTAGTACCTATACCAACCCCACTTTATGGGTCAGGAAACTGAGGCCTAGAGAGGCTAAGTAATTTGTCCAGATGACTCAGCAACTCACTTGCATCACTTCATTAAATCCTTACAACTCCAAAAAGCAGGTGCTACTATTATCTCCATTTTACAGATGAGAAGCTGAGGCAACAGAGGGGTGAAGTAGCTCACCCAAGGTCACTTGGTCACTAAGAGCTGAGCCAGGACGTAAACTCAAGACACACTCCAGAGCCTTGGGCAGTCAAAATTCCCACCCTCTACTGTTGCCCCCAGGACCTCTTCCTCCAACTCCTTAGCCCCAGGTTTGCTGGCACCACATGTGGATGCCAAACCCCCTCCTCTCAGCAGCCAAGATGGTAGGAAAATGAGAGCAAGTAGCGTGAGCATGCAGCCATCACCCCAGACTCCTGTGTTCACATCCCCCTCCAGCTGAAGTGTCTCAAAAGTGAGCCAGGTCCAGAACTGGGGCAGGAGGCCAGGCCCGTGGGGCGCTCCCTCCCCACTCCACAGGGTGGGCGCCTGCTGAGGCCTCCCTGTGTGGTCTGCCTCCAGCCTCCAGCCAGTGGCCAAGGCCTTGACACCTCAAAGTCTCCTGGGGCTGAACTCGACCCCCCTGCTGTGTGTGCATCTCCCAGAAAGGGCCAGCCTCATGGGGCGGGGGTGGGGGCGCGGGGGGGCGGCGGTTGGTGTGGGGGAGTGGAGGGGTGGGCTCCACCTCCAAGGATTGACAAGAGCAGCCAGAGAGGGAGCTGGCAGCTCGGCAGGCCTGGGACAGTGGCTACGAGAACACGGCAGGGTTTATTTTTAGACCTTTGTGAGTCCTACGGCGGCCACGTGGGTAGCACCCTTGCCTCCTCCGGGTCATACTCTGGTAATGAGTGGCACTAAACTCCCAAGCAGGTTAAGGGCCCACTGGGGTCTTTGGGGACAGAGGCAGGAAGGTACAGTGGATGAGGAATAAAACACGGCAGCACCTGACATGCAGGACAACCGGGACCTGGCCTGGAAAAGTGGTCCCGGGGGCGGGGGGGGCACTTCAGAGTCAAAAGGCCTGAGGTGCTCTCACACACACACACACACACGCATACACACACTTTCCCTGGGGACATCATAGCGGAAAGGCCTGTACCCCAGTCGCATGATGTACACCCTGCCCTCAAACACACACACAGTTCACAGTCAACAACCACCTGCCAAGCTACGGCGGCCACCACCTCCTCGGTTGTCTCTCTCCAAAACAAATTTCAGAATCCCCCCTCCCTCCTCTCCTCCCCTCCAGGGCGCTTTCCCGCCTGGCCTCCCCGTGCCCCCAACATCCCTGCCCACCCCACGAGCCAGCAGCCCCCTCCCCTCGCCCTCATTACGCAGAGTTGACCCCAAGAGAGAGCTGTGCGGCCCTGGCAGCCACCCCCTCCACCCCGAGGCACTGACAGCCCTCCCTCCTGCCCACGTTGAGGGTGGTCACCCTCAGCTGCCCACCCCCCCAACCCCCCCATGATGTCCCCTCGGAGAAACCGGGGACAGCTTGACGTGTGCAGCCCGCAGCCCTGTCACAGCCGCCTCGGAGCAGGTGAAAGCAAGTCAAGCAGAATGACAGAGGCAAAGGCAGACCCAGGGAGGGGCTCGGGAGACTAAAAATACTTCCCGCCCGCCAGGGAGGAGAGGAGGAGAGCTGGGACTGGGAGCAGCCCGAGAAGGAGGGGGGCCCCGTCGAGAGCCAGGGCTTAATAACACTCCCACTCTCTCCCTGCACCTCAGTTTCCTCAACTGCAAACAGGGATTGTGGCCCCAGGGCATCAAGGACACAGCCACGGATGCCTCCAGTGGCTGGTATGTATGTATGTGCAAGCCGCTTAGTTGTGTCTGACTCTTTGCCACCCCATGGACTATAGAGTCCATGGAATTCTCCAGGCCAGAATACTGGAGTGGGTAGCCTTTCCTTTCTCCAGGGGATCTTCCCAACCCAGGGATCAAACCCAGCTCTCCCACATTGCAGGTGGATTCTTTACCAGCTGAGCCACAAGGGAAGCCCAAGAATACTGGTTTGGGTAGTCTATCCCTTCTCCGGCAGATCTTCCCAACCCAGGAATTGAACCAGGGTCTCCTGCATTGCAGGCAGATTCTCTACCAACTGAGCTATCAGGGAAGCACTCTTCCAATCTCCTGCAACATATCAAGCCTGGAAACTTGAAATCCTACTTGTCTTGCTCACATGTCACCTCCTCAGAGTAGCCCTCCTGACCAATGTATGTTCACTCATGCCTTCCATCCCACTTCATGTCACAGCACTTAGCATTATCTTGCTTCATACTGGGCTTCCCTGGTAGCTCAGATGGTAAAGAATCCACCTGCACTGCAGGAGATCCAGGTTCGATTCCTGCATCAGAAAAATTTGCTGGAGAGGGAGAGGCTACCCACCCCAGTATTCTTGGGCTTTCCTGGTGGCTCAGCTGGTCATGAATCCACCTGCAGTGTGGGAGACCTGGGTTCATTCCCTGAGTTGGGAAGATCCCCTAGAGAAGGGAACAGCTACCCACTCCAGTATTCTGGCCTGGAGAATTCCATGGACTATATAGTCCATGGGGTCACAAAGAGTCAGACAAGACTAGGTGACTTTCACTTTACCTTTCACTGGTATTCTTGCCTGAAGAGCCCCGTGGACAGAGGAGCCTGGCAGGTTACAGTCCAGGGTGTCACAAAGAGTCGGACACGACTGAGCAACTAAGCACGTACACCTAATGTTACACTATATATTTGTTGGTGTACTTGCTGGTTTTCTGTTTCCCCCACATAAGGGTGGAAAATCCATCTATTTGGGCCACCATTATACTTGGAACTTGGCACAGGGCCAGCCACCTAAACAGCACTTAATAAATATTTGCTGAATAAATTAATCAATCCACCAGCCAGTCAGTAAGTTAATTGTCTTTGGTTCTTCTCCTTCATTCTCTGTATCCAACTGGTATTGTGTCTTCCTTCAAAGGACATCTTAGGCTTTGCATTTCCCTTTTACTCCATATCTTAAGCCAGGGGCATCAATTAACCCTTGAGCTGCTCAAAGAACTCATCAGCTAGGGTTCTACCTCTGCATTGCCCTACCCAATGCATCCTGCATGATACTCAGACTCATGAGACAAAAGAAGTGTAGGACAGGAGCCCATGGTCATCCATTCAATCACACACTCAGTCACGGCCATCCGAAGCCTACTGATTTAGCCAACGATATCCTAATACCAACTCTACCACAGTCACCTCATGCTCATGCTAAATCCAAGTCTTTGTTTTGATTGATCCCTGTCATGGATCAGCCTCTGCTCTGCCCAGCCATATCTGGTGCATGCTTTAGCCTTGTTAACATGCCACTCCTCCAAGAATCTTCCTTTTGTCACACTAAGGAGTAAAGCATCAGTTTTAAAGTCAGATGGACATATCTTTAAACACTAGCATGGGTTTTTGGACAAGTTACTTGTCTAAGTGTCAGTTTTCTCAGTTGTAAAATGGGCAGAGCAACATCTTCATTGCAGATTTGTTGTAGAGCTAATAAGGGGGTGTGAAACCACAGGGGACAATGCTAGGTCTACAGGAAGTACTCAATAAATTATTTCCCGTCCTTGCCCAGTTGATTTCTCTTTCCTCTGAACTCTTATTGCATTTGGTAAGTGCACAGTCAGAAGCCTGCTGCTTTCTAATTGTATCATGACTATTAGCATTTTCTCCTCAATTTAATTCCAAGGTCCCGGAGAGCAAAGATGACACTCCATATTTTATTATAACCCCTGACACTTAGTACTATGCAGGGCACACAGCAACCAAAGTTCTTTCTTATATATTACCTCAGTTAATTCCTACAATACCATCTGAGTTTAACCAACTAATATCATTCCCATTTGGTACTTGAAGAAACAGGTACTTTTCTGAAACAGTTCAGAAAAGGCTCACGACTTGCCCATAGTCACAGAGCCAGTGGAAAACAGAGGCCCAGATTTCCAGAATCTGTTACAGAAGACTTTGAGACTGATGTCCAAAGAAACCACTCTCCCGCTCTGAGAACTGCCCATCTCACTCCACTCCTCTCCACTCCACCTCCCATTCCCACACTGGTGAGCCATGGCAGCCATGATTGCATCACATGGCCCTGCCCCACTGGCCACTGCTGATTGGTTGACTCAGAAGTAGACACATGACCCAAACTGGGCCAATCAGATTCTACCTCCAACAGACTTCAAATTGGAAAATAATGACTCTAGTTAGTACAGATCACTCCAACTAGGGACCCATAAATTCAGGAAATATGGGGCCACATGCACAGCGAAGCAGAAGAGGCAATCTTGTGAGAGAAGGATAAAGGAGGAAGGAGTAAAGACCAGAAACCGCCTGGGTTCCTTACTTTTTCCCTGTCCTAAATCCCTGCCACTTTCTGGTCCTATCTGAACCTTCAAAAATTGCTCAAATCTGGTGCAATAGCTCAGCAGCTTTTCAAATACTTCCCATTTTTGCTTAACCTGTTGAGTTTTCTACAACTAAAAGATTCTCAACTAGGACAGACTCAGTCCCAGGCAGAAAGTTAGTTGCTCTGTACCAGTTGTTCTCAAATAGCGGTCCAGGGATCCCTGGGAGTCGCTGAGACCCCTTCAGGGAGTCTCTGATGTCAAAACTATTTTTGTAATAGTCCTCAAGTGTTATTTGAAAGTTTTCACTCTCATCCTCCCACAGGTGCACAGTGGAGTTTTCCAGGGGCTACACAACACAATGATGTCATCAGTTTATGTGCTGGTATACTCTTAAGTTTAACATTTTTCTGTTTCTAATATGGGAAGTATCACTGGTTATAAGCCATCAGAACAACAGCTTTGGGGGCTCTCAGTAATTTTTGAGTACAGAATCCCTGAGACCAAATAAATATTGAGAACTACTGTTCTACTCTTGGTGTTTAAAGTGCAGTGCTCAGACCAGCAGCACTGACATCATCTGGGATACTGCTAATCGAGCAAAATCTCAGTCACCACCCACCAGACCTACTGCATCAGAATTTATGCTTGAACAATATCACCAGGTGCTTTATATGCACATTAAAGTTTGAGAAGCACTGGACTACACCATACTGCATCATAAACACTTACTGATTGATCAACTGATTGATAACACTCACGTGGATGACTCACAGGAATTTCATAAATTTTAAAGAGCTTTGATTGTTGGGCTAAAGTTACCATAGACTTACAGTAGGGCTTATTGTTGCATTAACACTACCAAAGACTAGGGCCAATTATTAATTGTTGGGCCTAAATTTCTCTCACCTATCAGGGAATCTCCATTGCCAAAGTCAGAGAGCTATTCCCTTTGCTTGCACTCTCCTAATAATATTTCACCTTTATTAAGCACTCAAAATCGGTTGTGAATTACTAACTCAATTTTATTTATTTATTTATTTTTTAACTAACTCAATTTTAATGATGAAGAAACTGAGACCCACAGTACTTAACATTATTTGGTCAAGGTCACAGGGGTTACATAATTGACCAAAACTCTAGTAAGTAGTAGAGCTGGGATTTGAACTCAGGGTTCAGACAAGGTAGAGACTGTTCTTGCCATCACTACCTTAGCCCTGACTTCTATGAACACACAGAGCATCTGGTGGTCTTGTTAGAGTGCAGACTCCAATTCAGTCCAACTGGGGTGGAGTCTGGCATCTGCATTTCTAACAAGCTCCCAGGTGACATTGATGCTGAAGCCCAGGGACCACTCGCTGAGACAGCCTTAGACTGCATCTCAGTCCTGACAACAGAAACGGGAGTGACTATCCTCCAGGTGCCAGCAGCAGCTTGAATATACGTTAAAGGGTAGCTTCTTTGAGGTTGTGCATGAAGTAGTCTCCACTCCTTATTCCAGCACAGGCAGGCTCACCTCTAACTTTTAGGTCCTTCCATGGTTCCCACCACGGGTGATATGTCCACCATGTTGCTGCACAATGTAGAGCCATTTGACTGCCCCTCAGCCAGCATGGATGGGCCCAGAACTAGCCTAGGCCCCATCTAGCTCCCTTGCTGTGTTCAGGCCTTTTCTCAGCTCCCAGAAAGCTCAAATAAGACTTTTTGTTCTTTTCCTATCATTAAACCATTCATTCAACAAACTGGCCAATGGCCGCATGCTGGGCACTGAGCCATGTGTGACCCAGTGGGAAAGTACAGACCTGTGTTCAATTACTCACTTCTTCCTTACTGGGTTGGACAACCTTGAACAAATTCTTAACCTCTCCAGAAGTAATAATACCAACTCATAGGAAAGAAAGAAGCAGTGCTGACCAAGAGAAATACAATGGCGGCGGGCGGGGGGGGTCACATGCCATTTTAAATTTTCCAATGGCCACATTTTTTAAAAGAATGAAAAGAGAATAAGATGAAATTAATTTTAATAATATATTTTATTTAACCAAATGTATCCAAAATATCTTTATTTCAGTGTGTAATCAATATAAAATCATTATGAAATGGTCACCGTTCTTTTAACACTGTGTCTTCGAAATCTATGACTTCCCTGGTAGCTCAATCGATGAAGTATCTACCTGCAGTGCAGGAGACTGGGTTGGATCCCAGGTAGAGCAGATCCCATGGAGAAGGGAATGGCAATCCACTCCAGTATTCTTGCCTGGGAAATCCCATGGACAGAGGAGCCTGGCAGGCTACAGTCCACGGGGTCGCAAGAGTTGGACACGATTGAGCGACTAAACCACCACCTTTGAAATCTGGTGACTATTTTACATCTACAGCATATTTCAATTTGCATGAGCAACATGTCAAGTGTTTTGAGGCCACAGGTGGCCAGTGGACAGTGAAGAAATACAGAATGCAGCATAAAGGACCTACCATCACTTTCAGTAACGTAGCTCTTACTGTGAAGAGCCTCATCATTGCCTGATGTATATGAAGTATACAGTCAGTACAGACAACTGTTGCTGCTGCTTCTGATGGTATTCTTACAGAGAAGACACCTAATTCATATTTGCTGACTGCAAGTTCAATGCCTAGATTTCAGGGAGTAGAGATATTAAAACACCATTGTCTACCATCTACTAGAGTAAGTTTGGTTTGGGCTAAGAGAAGGGATGGAAACCGGCCTGCAGGCATATAGCAACTGGCATTCACCAAAGGCCCAGAAAGCCCACATTCTAAAGTCTTCTTCAACAATAGAACTATATCATTCATTACTTTGTAACCCCCAATGAAGGCATGGGTCCAGGCAAATTCATCAGTGGCCACTAAGAAGACTAGGTAAAAACACGACAGGGCACTTTTCTAAGGAGAGTTCTGGCTGACAACACCCAAATTCACTGATCAGTTTTACCACCACTGAAGTCAGAACCAGTGGACAGCATACGCCTCCAGATGTGAAGCAATAAGAAACACACATCACACCTAGGAAAAAGTCTAGCCACACCAAAAAGGTATTTACATACACACACACGAATATCCACAATCTAATTGTCTCTCACCAAAACACTAGTTTTCAGGAAATAAAGAGGATCCAGGGACACATTAGACACCACCAGTCTGCCAACTCTAGAATATGAAAAATTCTACAAGACCAACCACCCAAGTTCTTCAACAAATAAATGGCATGGAGGGAAAAAAAGGTATATATGTGACAGGGAATAGTAGCAAGGAAGAAGTATGTTATAGAATGCAAAAGACAAGTTTCAAACTGCCAAAGCCATTTTTGAGAAAATCAGGGGGAAATGATCAAGAACTGGATACCAGAATGGTGGTGGTTTAGTCACTAAGTCGTGTCCAACTCTTGTGACCCCCATGGTCTGTAGCCTACCAGGCTCCTCTGTCCATGGAATTCTCCAGGCAAGAATACTAGAGTGGGTAGCCATTCTCTTCTTCAGGGGATTTTCCTGACCCAGGGGTCAGACTCAGGTCTGTTTCATTGCAGGAAGATTCTTTACTGACTGAGCAACCAGGGGAGGTGGAGGATATTAGAACAGTTATTTTTATTAGGTGTGATAATGATGCCTGTTAGAGTTATACATTAAGATATGGCACAGGTTAAATGGAAAAAAAAAAGTCTAGGACTTGCATTGAAATATTCCATATACAAAAAAAAACTACACAAAAAAACAAACATACAAACCAACTGAAAGTGGGAGTAAAGAAAAGATTAAACAAGAATGTCAAAGCATTGATCATGGAGGAAGCTGAGTTGTGACTCTATATGGCGTGTGGCATCAGCGGGCAGCCCTGTCCAGACTGAGAAATTCCAGCTCCTATCCAGGTCAGAGCACCGTAGCTCAGAGTGGGCACTGCTGGGCCACCTGCACCAGTCACCAAGGAACCTGCTTACAATACAGCCTTCCAGGCCTGACCCCAGACCTCCTAAATCACAACTTCCTGGAGTGGATCCTGCAAATTTGCATTTCGATAGGCTCTTGTGGTGATTCTGATGTGTGCTCAGACTCAAGAGCCACGGGAATAGAGAGCCTTGCCATGATCACCACTGGACCCAAGCCAAGAGGGCATCCAGGACTAGCCTCTCATCCGGGGAAGGGGTAAGCATCTATCCAGAGCCTGAAGGAGCCAGAGCAGCCTCACAGCGCTAATTCTCCAGACAGAAAGCGGCAGCTCATCCCCACCGTGCCCGCTGCACCGGGTTATTTTCAGATACTCCTGCAGACCCTTGAAGGTGACTACAGACAACCCCTTTGGCCTTGAGCATGAGGACTCTGGAGGACCACCTCTAACGCCTGATAGCACCACTCAGGTTTGGCTCCCTCCCCTCAAGGGTCACCCTCATATTTTTATTCCTTCCACCATGGATTTCCCATCTGCCATTCCCCAGGCCTCTGGCCTTTTCTTGCCACATTCCAGGCCCACACACCTCCAAAACTCTTGCCACACCTGCCTGGGAACCATCAGCTATGGCCCTGCCATGCTTTCCCAGTATGCTTCTGCTCTCTGCCTGGTGAAAGGTATGCCAAAGCAGTACCTGTGAGGCTGGGGCAGCCCTAGGGACAGGACACTTTCAGCCTTCTTCTATGACTGAGGAATGGGGCCGACAGTCACATCCACCTCATCCTCTACCCTTGCCCAGACCTCACCCTCACCCTCCCCATCCCCTTGCTGCGCCCTCTGCCACTTTTCTCCCTCTAGCCAGCTCTAAACTCTGGCAGGGATCAGAGCTGGGATCTGACCACCTGGGATCAGAGCTCTTCTGGCAGTTTCCTCTCTGGGTGTTCTGCGAGGAAGACCATGGATACACTCTCTATCCAGCTGTAGCAGGATTCTGAATCTGGGGTCCAGTTGTCTGGCAGGTCCCCCACCTCCCTGATCTCTTCCCTCCCTCCTGGCATCCCCAGCTTACCCGTCCTCTGGTCCGATTCTTCCGCTTGGGAATATCCTCTTCTAAATCCTCTTCTTCATTTCCTTCTTCTACATTTTCATCATTTTCTAAAACCCTCTGAAATGAGAAGAAAATAGAATCATTGAGAAATAAAGCACAAAGGAGAAAATCCTCAGAGGGTAATGTTGTGTTTTGTTGTTGTTGTTGTTTTTTTAATTGTTGTTGTTATTTTTTAACACAGTGAAGATGCTGCCATGGCTCAGCCTCCAAAATGCTGACCAGGAGTTGGGGCTCCTGGCGATACCAACCCTCTCTCCCAAGACCCTTCCAGCCAAGTCCTCTCAGAACACCGACCTTTTCAACACTTTTTGCCCACAAAGTGTTTTCTAAAAAGAGAATAGTAAGGGTACTCTTCTATGTAGGCCCAAGATGTCTGGTCAAAACTTCAGTTCAGTCACTCAGTCGTGTCCAACTCTTTAAGACCCCATGGATCCAATTCCACGCACCAGAACGCTGACACAAGCTTCCCTAACCAGGAAACCTTGACAAACCAATCGTCCAACCCCACCCACTGGGTGAAATCTCCACAATAAAAAGGAACCTCAGACCACAAGAATACAGAAAGCCCACTCCAGACACAGCAATCTAAACAAGATGAAAAGGCAGAGAAATACCCAACAGGTAAAGGAACATGAAAAAAGCCCACCAAGTCAAACAAAAGAGGAGGAAATAGGGAATCTACCTGAAAAAGAATTTAGAATAATGATAATAAAAATGATCCAAAATCTTGAAAACAAAATGGAGTTACAAATAAATAGCCTGGAGACAAAGATTAAGAAGATGCAAGAAATGTTTAACAAGGACCTAGAAGAAATAAAAAAAAGTCAATTAAAAATTAATAATGAAATAAATGAGATCAAAAACACTCTGGAGGGAACCATGAGTAGAATAACAGAGACAGAAGATAGGATAAGTGAGTTAGAAGATAAAATGGTGGAAATAAATGAAGCAGAGCGGAAAAAAGAAAAAAGAATCAAAAGAAATGAGGACAACCTCAGGGACCTCTGGGACAATGTGAAACGCCCCAACATTCGAATCATAGGAGTCCCAGAAGAAGAAGACAAAAAGAAAGGCCATGAGAAGATACTCGAGGAGATAATAGCTGAAAACTTCCCTAAAATGGGGAAGGAAATAGCCACCCAAGTCCAAGAAACCCAGAGAGTCCCAAACAGGATAAACCCAAGGCAAAACACCCCAAGACACATATTAATCACATTAACAAAGATCAAACACAAAGAACAAATATTAAAAGCAGCAAGGGAGAAACAGCAAATAGCACACAAAGGGATTCCCATAAGGATAACAGCTGATCTATCAATAGAAACCCTTCAGGCCAGAAGGGAATGGCAGGACATACTTAAAGTAATGAAAGAGAATAACCTACAACCTAGATTACTCTACCCAGCAAGGATCTCATTCAGATATGAAGGAGAACTCAAAAGCTTTACAGACAAGCAAAAGCTGAGAGAATTCAGCACCACCAAACCAGCTCTTCAACAAATACTAAAGGATCTTCTCTAGACAGGAAACACAGAAAGGTGGTATAAACGTGAACCCCAAACAACAAAATAAATGGCAACGGGACCATATCTATCAGTAATTACCTTAAATGTAAATGGGTTGAATGCCCCAACCAAAAGACAAAGGCTGGCTGAATGGATACAAAAGCAAGACCCCTATATATGCTGTCTACAAGAGACCCACCTCAAAACAAGGGACACATACAGACTAAAAGTGAAGGGCTGGAAAAAAATATTCCACGCAAACGGAGACCAAAAGAAAGCAGGAGTCGCAATACTAATATCAGATAAAATAGACTTTCAAATAAAGACTGTGAAAAGAGACAAAGATGGACACTACATAATGATCAAAGGATCAATCCAAGAAGAAGATATAACAATGATAAATATATATGCACCCAACATAGGAGCACCGCAATATGTAAGGCAAACGCTAACGAGTATGAAAGAGGAAATTAATAGTAACACAATAATAGTAGGACTTTAATACCCCACTCACAACTATGGATAGATCAACTAAACAGAAAATGAACAAGGAAGCACAAACTTTAAAGGACACAATGGACCAGCTAGACCTAATTGACATCTATAGGACGTTTCACCCCAAAACAATCAACTTCACCTTTTTCTCAAGTGCACACGGAACCTTCTCCAGAATAGATCACATCCTGGGCCATAAATCTAGTCTTGGTAAATTCAAAAAGATTGAAATCATTCCAGTCATCTTTTCTGACCACAGTGCAGTAAGATTAGATCTTAATTACAGGAAAAAAATTATTAAAAATTCAAACATATGGAGGCTAAACAACACGCTTCTGAGTAACCAACAAATCATAGAAGAAATCAAAAAAGAAATAAAAATATGCATAGAAATGAATGAAAATGAAAACACAACAACCCAAAACCTATGGGACACTGTAAAGGCAGTGCTAAGGGGAAGATTCATAGCATTACAGGCCTACCTCAAAAAACAAGAAAAAAGTCAAATAAATAACCTAACTCTACACCTAAAGCAACTAGAGGAGGAAGAAATGAAGAACCCCAGGGTTAGTAGAAGGAAAGAAATCTTAAAAATTAGGGCAGAAATAAATGCAAAAGAAACTAAAGAGATCATAGCAAAAATTAACAAAGCTAAAAGCTGGTTTTTTGAAAAAATAAACAAAATTGACAAACCATTAGCAAGACTCATTAAGAAACAAAGGGAGAAGAACCAAATTAACAAAATTAGAAACGAAAATGGAGAGATCACAACAGACAACACCGAAATACAAAGGATCATAAGAGACTACTACCAGCAGCTCTATGCCAATAAAATGAACAACTTGGAAGAAATGGACAAGTTCTTAGAGAAGTATAACTTTCCAAAACTGAACCAGGAAGAAATAGAAGATCTTAACAAAACCATCACAAGCAAGGAAATCGAAACTGTAATCAGAAATCTTCCAGCAAACAAAAGCCCAGGACCAGATGGCTTCACAGCTGAATTCTACCAAAAATTTAGAGAAGAGCTAACACCTATCTTACTCAAACTCTTCCAGAAAATTGCAGAAGAAGGTAAACTTCCAAACTCATTCTATGAGGCCACCATCACCCTAATTCCAAAACCAGACAAAGATGCCACAAAAAAAGAAAACTACAGGCCAATATCACTGATGAACATAGATACAAAAATCCTTAACAAAATTCTAGCAAACAGAATCCAACAACATATTAAAAAAATCATACATCATGACCAAGTGGGCTTTATCCCAGGAATGCAAGGATTCTTTAATATCCGCAAATCAATCAATGTAATACACCACATTAACAAATTGAAAGATAAAAACCATATGATTATCTCAATAGATGCAGAAAAAGCCTTTGACAAAATTCAACATCCATTTATGATTAAAACTCTCCAGAAAGCAGGAATAGAAGGAACATACCTCAACATAATAAAAGCTATATATGACAAACCCACAGCAAGCATCACCCTCAATGGTGAAAAATTGAAAGCATTTCCCCTGAAATCAGGAACAAGACAAGGGTGCCCACTCTCACCACTACTATTCAACATAGTTTTGGAAGTTTTGGCCACAGCAATCAGAGCAGAAAAAGAAGTAAAAGGAATCCAGATAGGAAAAGAAGAAGTGAAACTCTCGCTGTTTGCAGATGACATGATCCTCTACATAGAAAACCCTAAAGACTCTACCAGAAAATTACTAGAGCTAATCAACCAATACAGTAAAGTTGCAGGATATAAAATTAACACACAGAAATCTCTTGCATTCCTATACACTAACAATGAGAAAACAGAAAGAGAAATTAAGGAAACAATACCATTCACCATTGCAACAAAAAGAATAAAATACTTAGGAGTATATCTACCTAAAGAAACAAAAGACCTATACATAGAAAACTATAAAACACTGATGAAAGAAATCAAAGAGGACACAAACAGATGGAGAAATATACCGTGTTCATGGATTGGAAGAATCAATATTGTCAAAATGGCTATACTACCCAAAGCAATCTACAGATTCAATGCAATCCCTATCAAACTACCAACGGTATTTTTCACAGAACTAGAACGAATAATTTCACAATTTGTATGGAAATACAAAAAACCTCGAATAGCCAAAGTAATCCTGAGAAAGAAGAATGGAACTGGAGGAATCAATCTGCCTGACTTCAGACTATACTACAAAGCCACAGTCATCAAGACAGTATGGTACTGGCACAAAGACAGAAATATAGATCAATGGAACAGAATAGAAAGCCCAGAGATAAATCCACGAACCTATGGTCACCTTATCTTCGACAAAGGAGGCAAGGATATACAATGGAAAAAAGACAACCTCTTTAACAAGTGGTGCTGGGAAAACTGGTCAACCACCTGTAAAAGAATGAAACTAGAACACTTTCTAACACCATACACAAAAATAAACTCAAAATGGATTAAAGATCTAAATGTAAGACCAGAAACTATAAAACTCCTAGAGGAGAACATAGGCAAAACACTCTCCGACATAAATCACAGCAGGATCCTCTATGACCCACATCCCAGAATTTTAGAAATAAAAGCAAAAATAAACAAATGGGACCTAATGAAACTTAAAAGCTTTTGCACAACAAAGGAAACTATAAGCAAGGTGAAAAGACAGCCCTCAGATTGGGAGAAAATAATAGCAAACGAAGCAACAGACAAAGGATTAATCTCAAAAATATACAAGCAACTCCTCCAGCTCAACTCCAGAAAAATAAATGACCCAATCAAAAAATGGGCCAAAGAACTGAACAGACATTTCTCCAAGGAAGACATACAGATGGCTAACAAACACATGAAAAGATGCTCAACATCACTCATTATCAGAGAAATGCAAATCAAAACCACAATGAGGTACCATTACACACCAGTCAGGATGGCTGCTATCCAAAAGTCTACAAGCAATAAATGCTGGAGAGGGTGTGGAGAAAAGGGAACCCTCTTACACTGTTGGTGGGAATGCAAATTAGTACAGCCACTATGGAAAACAGTGTGGAGATTTCTTAAAAAGC